TAGATTTCGTTACATTAAGTGTTAACTGTTAAATTACTTTTTTAAAACTTGATTAAAGCAGTTTTTTTTTTTTTTTTTAAAGCAAATGAGCTTTTCTTGAGATTAAGGAAAATATTTTGTTATATATATATATATGTGCTGTGTATATATAAATATGTGATAGTTAATAGTACTACATTGGATACGGTTTAAATCTGTAGACAACACAGCCATAACAAACATTAGTTTATTATTGAGATTCCTACATCTGAAAAGGCATGTCCTATGGTACAATTTGTGATACAAGTGCTAACTTTTAAAGATAACAATCTACCTCCAAGTGTGGTGCTTTTTCAAAGATTTACAAATATACTTTTTTAATCAAAATCATGAATTTCAATGCCTTACATGTATTTCCTTGCAAACAAGTTACAATGAACATAAAACTTTTTTTTTAATATGCATTGTTTTCGTTTTTTATAGTGCTTTAAAATATTGTTTTTTTCATTTAGGTTATTTTAATATTAATCCATTTTTTCCTATGATTCAACTTTCAGCAGTTTTGCTGGTTTAACTAACCCCTCCTCTGCTGCTTTCTTGTTAAAAGCCCATACTGACCAACTGAAAAACAAAAGAGAAGCATTTAAATAACTTTTATGTTTGATATAAAATGCTTACTGAACCCTCATCTGTTTGGAGTGGCATAGTAAAGAAAATTAGTTGCAACTTTTTTCTTTTTTCTCAAAACAACTTTTATTTCATCCATTCCCCAAATGATTAGTAGACATGGAAACCATCACACACATACACACAACACATAATGTGCAGCTTTGTGGTCATAAACCAACAGACAGAAAAAAAAATGCACACCAACTGGGGTAGCAATTGGCATTAGAAGCCTTGTCTATTTGTAAGCAGTAAGTTTTCAAAATATATATAATATATCAAAAATATATATATCTTATCTGCATGACCCTAAACTACTACATTGTGTATGCTTGCCTTTAGTTGCCAAACAGGTTCAGAATCAACCGCTGTACATGATAGGAACTACCTACAGGTGTTATTTTACAAAGTGGGGAGTGAGTTCAAAACAAACTTTAGAGTAACTTTAAAATTTCAGTCACATGATGCCATTAAACAACCTGATTGGTCAGCTGTGCTGCCAAATTTATTTACATGAACACTTTTAAAAGTAATCACACATTTGGTTAGGAAATAAAAATCTGTTTATGGATAGTAGTGGTACTTAGGAGAGCAAGCAAGAGTTCTTGTACAACCAATAAGATCGCAAATACTTGAGGATACCAAATTATTCAAATAATACATTGAAGGGATTTTCATAAACAAATATAGTTTCACAAATAATGTTAAAACTAGATACTAGATAAAGTGCGTTTACTAAAAATTGGCAAGTTTCAAGTTTTTATCAATTTGTGTTACAACTCTAAGGTAAAAAAAAATAAAATCTTCACTAACAATTGACAGACCACTGAAAGGTATTAAAACACCATTGAAGTGCCATTTCTTTTCATTTGATGAAAATTAATTTCATTAAGTCAATTAGGCTGTCTTCGGTATAATGAAACAGCTGTAGAAAATTTGCAATCCTGGAAACTAGCCATCAGTAATTACAGGAGATACGCTACATTTTGTGTTACAAAAATGAAGACTAAAAAACATACAAGCTAATAAAAGGTTTTGCACAGTGATAGAAAACTGAATATTTAAACGTTTTCATTATTATACATTTTTGAGACCACTCTTACAAAAGCCAACATCTATAACAAGAAACAGCAAAGTGCTTCAATAATCAAGCTAATTTGAATAACAGTTTTTATCAAGATTGTTTTTTCATTACAACTTAGCTCACTTATGACTTTCATATAAAAATATAGCTTTTAATATATACAATTAAAATCTAGTGATTTTTCACCTAATACGTTACTTTTGTCCATTTTCTCACTAATAAGATTCATTTGAGAAAAAAGAAAAAACCCAATTCTGTTAAGCTACAATTTTTGGACCTTAAAATGCTAAATGTATCAACTACTCTACCTATATATAGAATAAAAAAAGAATTATCTATTTTGTCTTGTATATTTTAAAATATTAGTTCATGTCTTCACTTATTTTTTAGATTTACAAGTTCCTACTTTAGAGAGACTAAAGCCGATTTTCATTTCACCACATTATGACAAAATGACTGATGTCTTCTTCGGAAATGAAAGACAAGAAAATAACTTTCTTTCATGAACTCTATCAATGTATTACAACAAAGAAACCATCTAAAATAAAGTAGGTTATAAAAATGCTTACTCAGATATCGTCTTGTAAAGAATGAAGAAAATGTTGCAAAATTTATGTTTATACATTGTCATAATTAAACACGTATTACTTCTTAAGGGATGGTAATTAATTCCTATTTCATCTTCATTTTAATATTACACAATGTTTAAATGATGGGTTATCCCTCTGATGTATTTTATATTCTAATAAGCTGTTAACCAGTGCTAAAAAAATTTAATTTTGAATCAATTAAAATGTACTTCCTATTAGCATCTTGCCATTTTAGGAACTTGCTCTGGAATTCCTCTCTTCCTAACAGTATGTACAGAAAACATCCTCCTTCCCCCCCCCCTTTTTTTTTCCAAATCCAAAGCTGCTTACAAAAGTGTTCTAGTGACCAGAATTAAAACTTTTGCCAAAAGATGACACTTTACAACAAAACAAGAAACGGGCAGAGCAAGTCTTGCATCTTTACACAATGTTATGAGAATACATTAGTAACAAGTTATATAAACTGTCTTTATGTACAACTTCTAGCTACTAACAGGTGTTCATTGAGTCTAGGCAAACTTAAAGATTACACGTATGATGGAACTGGTTAGTACCATTCAAAATAATGTAAATTCTTCCAATTTTCTGATTCACTCCAAAAAGATCATTTTATTTTACAACCTAAAACTTCAACAAAACAATATAGACATTTCACTAACAACAAACATGAAAGTTGAGCAACCATACATGTATCTTTAAAAAAGCTAAAGTAACATTTAAGTATTAATTCTAATTTTTTTCTTTTGTACAGTCTTAAGGTGTTCTTGAACACTGATTGCTAGATTTGTGCTTTATAGTATGGTTACTCAGTTTGTATAATAAAAAAAAAAAAAGGAAAATAAGCACCACATAGTTTCACCAAAAAGAGTTTGGGTGTGGAAATCAAATATTTCACTTTAGGAATGGACCTAAGTAATTGCATAAGAACACAGTAAGGTTATATTTTTCTATGTGTAAAGGCATTATTATCCTAAGTAATAAAATACAAAATAATGAGGTTCGTTACTTGCAACTATGACCTCAGTATCTCCTATAAGAACTCATGGCTACTGGGTACAATTCTGTAACTTTCCACTTTTCTATAAAACATATTGTCACTGGTTTATCTTGCATACATGCTAAAGACTGTAAAAGCTATATACACTATCATTACACAGTCAAATGAACATGAAAAACAAATGGCACCAAAATTTTATTCTAACCTGCAACCTAACCAAAGATGTACAATGGGTCTATTAAAAGTACAATAATGTCCAGGCAAGGTTGAAGTGAGCTGCCATTGAAACAGCAATAGTTTCTGTAGAACACCACACACAACAACATGGCACCAGGTGCAGTTTAAAACTGCTTTAGGTTTTAAACAAAAACAAACTATAAACAAGCAACAGTTACACCATTCTCCAGAGTTTATGAATACTTGTACTTAACAAGACAGGTTAGCCACAACTCTATATATAAACTAACATCACCTCAAGTTCTGTGGCCTTGATTTACATATTTCTGTTGCAACTATTGAGCAAAGAAGAAACATCATTTCAACACACTGACATTTTTAGGCATTCACATACATATATAGATATGGACATACCTAGTTATGATATTCATCATTATCATTTTTTAAGTACATGTAGGTATTGGTATATACACAGTTACTGGTATTTGTACACATGATTACCCATTGCAGCTCAGCCTAGTTGAAGGAACTTGAAATTTGAGAAACAGTACAACACTAAATGGTAATTTGATAATGAGCATCCAATTGTTACAAGTCACAGATAGTTGTTCACTTAGGACCAAAGAAAGTCTGTCCTGATGGCATGTTTCTCTGAGAGTTCATCTGGCTACCACGAGTATTAGTAGCATACAGTTGTTGTTGAAAATTGTGAAACTGCACTGCATAGTTTGGGTCAGCAGTTGTGGGGGCATACAGAGGAGAATGTTTATAATTCATTGAATGTCCTAAAGATGGTTGAAGGGGCTGGCTGACATCCGTCATTCCTGCAGGAGACATTTGAGTTTGTTTTCCAGGAAACATTCCTACACTTTGCCCTCCTCCCATGCCACCTATACTTATCAGCTGGTTGTTCATAGAACTACCTTGTAACCTCAGTGGTTGACCAAACATTGCAGGATCATGTCCTCCAGGACCACCTGGGCCAGGATACAGTTGACCACTATTCATGATTTGGTGGCCTCCTGGTGGTCCTCGCAACATTGCTCCTGTTCCCATGCCCATTGGCCGCTGAGCGCTGACCATCATCTGCCCTGGACCCGCAAGACCCATTGGTGGTCCCATGTTTGTGTTAATTGGTGTTGCTCCTGGGAAATACTGCAAATTATGTGTTGGTACCTTAGCATCAAGATTGGTTAATGGTGTAGCAAATCTCTGCAAGAACTCTAAACTGGGTGGTCGATTAGGTTCTGGAAGAGCTGAAGTGGGTCTTGCTGGTAAGTATTGAATAGTATTTGGGGCACTTGCTTTCACTTGTACATTTGTACTATTATAGGGAGCACCTGTTGGCCCTTGGGGTTTGGCCATCATTCCTGGGCCCATGGCTGCACCTGTAGGGCTCATCATTCTTTGCCCACACACAGGATGTCCTGGGAAAGGTTGTGATTGGCTGGGTCCACGGGGTACTGCACTGCCTATGTTCATAGTGGATTTTGGAGATACCATACTGTGAGTAATGGGTTGGTTTGTGGTAGCAGAAGAACTAGCAGTCTGTGCACCCAAGGCCTGTCCTTGAATCACAGATGAATGAGGATGGTGCATGGTAGAACTGTAAGTTGATGTTGTTACATTCTGAATGTTAAGTTGTTGTATGGACATAGTGGCATTAACATAGGTATTATTCACAGTCTGGGGACCACCACCCATGTTATGCGCCATCTGAGAACCCATAAACTGTTGCTGTCCTGAAGGTTCACCTGGTCCTCCCTGCTGGGTTAAAGACTGTTGGACCCCTTGAACTGACTGCATTGCAGTGTTAAAATTTACCACATGTGGCTGATTTAAGTTGTTTCCTAAATGACCACTTACATGCATACTGGACATATTCATAGTTGTAGTCATCATACTTTGCTGAGCTTGAGACATGGCTGAAGATACTGGCCCAGCTGAATCACTCATGGCAGCGATGGAGGCAATTGGATCAAAGTGTGTGAGCTTCTGAGATCCCAAGGCCTGATAAGAAGGCTGAGGTGGTCCTGGACCCATATGGCCTATTGTCCCATGCTGGGCAATATCTGAAGACAATTTACTTCCAGGAGAGATATCAAAAGGTGGAGTCATTTTCTGGAGGGACTGGAGATGAGAGTGGCTTTCATTCGACATCATTGGTTGAGCAGGACTTGCATACTGGTGTGGCTGCATAGCTTCAGCCCCAGAAGGTGGAAATTGAGAATGGATATGCATTCCATCTGGGCCTATTATTTGTGGCCCAGGGCCAGGGTATCGTGGTTGCATCATCTCCATGCCAGATGTAGGTCCTCTAAACCTGTTTATCATTTCTACACTGCTACTAGGACCAGAAAACCTCTGCATGCCTTCCATACCTGAACTGCCTGGCCTAACACCATTCCCAAAGCCAATTCCACCAGGAAATCGTTCCAAAGTCCCAGCACCAGCCATTCTAGCCATTCCTTCTAAGCTAGAGTTCTGAGGAACCGAGTACCGCTGCATACCAAGATCCATTCCTTGAGATGCAGGATTAATAAAACGAGGGTTGTTTTCAAGTCCAGCCATCTGGTTAGAAAAAGGATACCTAGAATGGTTATTTTCCACTCCAGGGGCCTGCGGTCTAATATAAGTCTGACCATTCATATTGTCAGGAGCATCACATATCGTTGTTACTGGCAGTGGGCCCTGAATTCCTTCAGGTCTAGAGAAAGCCTGAGATGAGGTCATTTGAGAGGTATCTGTGGGCAATCTACGGAAAGAGGAAGGAATAAATTCAAATGATATTATAACAAATTTTAAAATAATTTTAAATACAAGACTATAGTAAAAAAGAAACCTTCTAAAATATTAATTTTCAATATATCAAAATGGGCAAAATATTTATTTAATAAAACTAAGTTATATAAAAAAAGTAAATACTAAAGTGATACTTCTCCAAATATTAAATGATCTTTGAAAAACAACTGAAACTATCCATATCTTAATATTGTTGCATTAGAACAAGTCTTCCTTATTAACAATCACTGAAGTTTTTTTACACATTTGCTGCCTCATCATTTTTATTGGCTAAACATGACAAGTGAGAGTGCACAGTAGTTCACGTTAAGAATCATTCAACAGAATAGTTTTGTCCATTACTGTGAAATATTGCAGTATTTTTATAAAGTAAGATAGGTCCAAGTATTTTTAGAATGTTTTTGTGCTTTCCTTATCTACCTTCATGACTTTTTTTTTTAGTGTTACGTATACAATATTTAATACAGCCTTATTATTACCTCTACCACTGAAGGTGGACAGAGGTTATGTTTTCACCCCTGCACGTGTGTTTGACAGCAATATTTCTCAAAAACAGCCAACTGAATTAGCACACAAGTTGGTATACATTTGGACTATGACCCAAAGTAGAAGTGATTAATTTTTGGAGGGTCAAGGTCTCAGTAACATCACGAAAATCAAAAGAATCCCTATCTGTAAACATGGGAACTGATTTTTCACATTATTTTTGCTCTATAATTCAGTCAAAAATTATCTGTGTTCATTGATAACAACAGACATATGGACACATTTTCTACAGAGTGTCCCTCTAGTGTCTGTTTAAAGCATGACCCATCCTGCATTATATGTATTTATTTAAAAAGATAACACAGTTATGTTTATTTCAATGTCAAACAGAAAGAATGTAACATAATAGCATCTTCTTTCCTCAGATGGTATTTTTAAAAATTTCAGACATCTAGGCCAAAAACAAAGGTATCGCACATAAAAATTACATATAAAAAACATTAAATACAAAATAAACAAATTATTCAGCTTAGTAAAAAAAAAGGAACTTTCCAAAACAATAATTTGCAATATATCAGAATGGCCAAAATACTTATTTAATAAAACTACATTACATAAAAAGTAAATAGTAAAGTGATACTCCTCCAAATATTAGATGAACTTTTGAAAAAAAAATATCCATATCTTACTACTGTACAATGCAACCATTCATAATGAATGGAAAAGAAGTTTAAAGTAGTAATTATTTCAAATTACTCGAGTAAAGTCAGATTTATTTAGGGGTTACACTGGCTCTAAGAAGCCCTACATTTCTCAATTTCAAGTATTTTTTTAACGAATCACATACTACTAAGTGAAACTCAAGTAAATGGCCTTTGATTCACAAAATGTTTTGTAAAGAATTCAACATTGAAAATTAAAATACTTGGTCTAATTTTACACAAACAATATTTGATATAACATCAAAGTCTGCCCCTAAAAATCCTAATTTCAATTCCAGAACAAAGATTGCTGACCTTAAATATATATAGTAATATCGTGCTCTTTATCACAAACCTTGAAATTGACACAAGTTAAGCTTCTAGGCTGTCACTACATAATTTTATTTGTAGACTGCTTCTATAAAGACACATGGTTATCTTCCACATTTGTATTAGCTTATTTTTTTAAGTACATTTATAAAGAGCCATCACAACTTTTATAGGAACATAATTTTACTTGATAAATATAGTAAGAAATAGTAAAAAGTCCAAAATGCTATATGTTTTAATTAACACTCAAAAATGATATTAGATTCCTGACTAATGCTGGATTTGTTTTATGCTCATGCAAATCATGCAGGGACAGCTTCTCTCTGTTTTAAGCTGTTACTAAGTGTACACACAATAATATAAGTAATAAGTTACTACATACCCTTAAGAAATTCAGCTTACGTTATGCATTAACAATGAGTTGTGATAATAAGAAACATGAAAAAAATATGGGATGGCTACTAGACTACAAACGGGTTATCACAAAGCTTTTTTTAAAGCAAAGGAAAATATTTGTGAACCATACTATATCTATAAACATCACAATAACTTTTACATGAAGAACTGGTTTGTTGCTGACCAATGCTGAAAGGATCACGAAGACTGTTTCTATACATGAGAACATGGTTAACTTCGATGCTTTTATTAGCTTATTTTTAAGTACATTTATAAAGAAAGAATTATCATAACTTTTACATGAAGTAATGGTTTCTTGTTAACAAATGCTGGAAGGGTTGATGGTTACTAACCTTGGAGGAGACATAAGGTCAACTTCTAGACTAGTATTGGGCTGTTTCTGAATAGTAAGCTCCTGACCATCAAATGAATTAAGGTACAAGATTTGTTGTGGAGATGGAACTGGCATCAAGCTGGCTTCTTTCCCCAAATTTCCTGACTGTAGGGAAAGTTGTTGGTTCTGAATTGTCTTGTGAGACGATGCAACAGAGTTACAAGGATGATGACCACAGCTAGACGAAAACATGTCTTCTGCAAAATAAAAAGTTAAAAGTACTGTACCTAATAAAATTATAACTATATGTGGAATTTCAATCTTTAAACATCATGAATGACAATAATCATGATCTGCTACAGAAGTTTTATTTAGCAATAACCAAAGGTTTCGTGAGACTGTCTAATCTGTTGAACTTGAAAATATGCATAAACTTACAAATCACAATACTATAGAAAATGTGTTAATCTAAAACTGTATCTTCAAAAATTAACTTAAAAGTTATAACTTTAGTTAAGACTAAGCATTTGATATCGTTTTACAAAAATCCATTGAATAGTAGCTTTACATCACTTACATTGGTTTGCAAGCCTATTCAATTAAACAATATTTACTAAATACTGATTTTACCACTTGAGTAATGATAGTACCCAATAAATACCATATGAAACACAAGAATAACATGAGTGGCATTTGTTTTTGTGAACAAGAGATGAGAGACTATTGAAGATACATCCTTACATCTGTTTTTAATTTTTTTAAGCATTTTTGTGACCTTTTTTTTACCAATCAAGATTACACATACAGCTGCTAACCAAATGTGAGGGGTAACATTAAGGAATTAAAATTATTTTTTAAAAAACTTTTTGTTTCTCCTCTGGTTATCCAAAAATTCTGGTTGTCCTACCAAACTTGTATTTTCACAGTATCTACAGCATCAAACTTCTTCCTTACGTACACCACTGATATTAAACTCGCAAAGTGAAAAACAAGATATATATGCATCTGAGAGATTACTGCTCATATTCAAAGCTAGTTACAGTTCCACAAAGGTGGTCTTGTGTCATTTATAACAACAGAAATTTTAAGCTGATAGCTTACATTTCAAGTTTGTTCAATTCAAAGTACCCAATTGTTAAGCAGTAAAAAAAATTAAATCAGTCATTAATTTCTCATTAAAAACTAGTAATAAAAGAAAATTACAATATCTAATCATAGAAAAAAATAAGCCTCTTTTTACCTGTTGAAGGCTGTGTGAGGGGCGACATGGATGTACGGTTAGTTATCATTGTAGAGTTAATATCCTGTGGTGGTGGTTGTTGTGCAGGAGCTTTCCTGGATGAGTTTGTACATACAGGACTAAAGTTAGCTAGTACAGAAGCCACTGTACTTGTTGTTGTGTTAGCAATAGAAGAAGAGCTGGATGTCCGAATATTTCCACTTGCCTGAGTATTGCATGTAGAGGAGGAAGGTGGTGGCTTTGGAGAGTTCATGGGTGTAGAATGCATACTGTTTCCAACTCCACTACCAGGACTTGGATGAGGCATGCGGGAACCTGGGGGTGTGAGGTGAGAAAACTGTCGAGAAGCTTCGGCAGGAGATGTTACTGAAGGCATTCTTGGAGATGGCATAGACAAATTTGGAGAAGAGGAATGAGGGCTTGGCATGGCTCCTTGTGGGTTGGGATGATAAGGTGGAGGTGGCCCTTGCACCCTTGCACTTGGACTCATTCCAACATTTGGGTTTGGGCTATTAACTGCTGACTGAGTCTGGGGTCCAATAGGAGAGGGATGGGGCACTGAAGGCTTCTTCTGTTTTTCCTCAATGAACTGCTGCTGAAGTTTCTGCCACTCTAGCTGGGCTGCCATTGAGGATGGTGGAACATTCTGCTGAGAAGGATATTGAGGGCCCATCATGCTGGAAGGCACATGATACATCCCACCATCTGAAGGTGGGTGAGGATGATGGTCACCCATCATACACCCATGTGGACCAAACATCATCTCCATCCCGGCTTGTGGACACATCTCAGTACCAGGTATACAACCCTGTCCTCCCATTCCCCCAGGTATAATCATCCCCTGTGAATTAATCATAGGTTCTGAGGGTGGAGGGCCCTCACTGCCTTGCTGGTCTGGAAATAGCCATTGCTGCATTTTACGGATCATTGCTAATTGCTCTTCCCGGTGCTGGCGTTGCTGGGGTGTCAAATTTTCATCAGGAATTTTCACTCCTATACACACGTGTAAGAAAGGGATATTATTTTATTGTTAAAAATACACTTTCATATATTACCTTTTTCTAAATATAAACTGTTAAAAGATAAATCAAGTCTTAAGATCTTTGATTATTCTACACTTCTAGTATTTATGTTCCAGCAAAAATGTTATTACAGTTTAGTCTTGTAAAAATAAAATAAATTTCACCAGCATATATCACCTTTCCATAAACATATCTATGTACCAAATACAAGAATGAATTTTTTGTCTTTGTTTAGTAGTTTTTGATAACAGCTTACACAGAATATAAGTGTGTGCATGCTAATACAGTAGTGTGGCTCATCAGATGTAAGCCATGTTGCCAAAGACTCACATGTAAGCCCTATCCAGACTGGAGAGCAACATTCACGTACTGAGTGCATAGCTGTATCAAATTTCAAAATTTATATCAGAATAATAATTATGTATTTTGATACATTTTCACTCAGAAATATTTAGAATTGATATTTTCTCATTTTGCAAAATTTATGCAGTGTAATTCATGAACAAATATGTGAAAAAAAAAGTTCTTTCCTTTATGTGCAGCTCTAAAGAGTTTCCACATGTAAACAACACACTAATAAATGTTTAAAAGTATTTTTACTGTCCATCCTAAACGTACATTTGTATATGCTAAGCATATATGATACAGTGAGTGTATGATTATCCATATCTTGTTTCTCATATGATTTCCCTTCTCTGTTAGTGGTTTTATTACTATAGCCCTTTGTTCTTTTGTGATGTTACAGCACGTGCTCCAAACAATCACTAATAAAGCACAGCTTTAAAAATAGCTGTAGGCTACATTTAAAATGATTTGATTCAGCATATTATTAACTATTTACATCAATGTAGAGTAAATAAAGTGGTTTAAGCAGTAGTTTGTGGCTTCATGAGAAAGTCACTAACAAGAGTTCCTGTAGGAACAAAAAAATTAATATAATAGGAAGAAAAGAAGACTTTGAAACAAACCACAGATCTAGGGCTTTTTGATACTTTTTAATACATTCATTTCATTCCTGAAAATGTTTTGTGCTACATTATATCTATTTCAAATCTACAGAAAACTTTCTCTATGACATCAACTAAGATTAGTTAAGTTTAGTGAGTATGGAAGGCAACAGCAAATAATACAATGACTCAAATCCATGTTTGTTGATTATTATTGTTAAGTATATCATATTCAAACAATGCACATAGATTTATAAAAATTACTATTTATTGGAAAGAAACAACATTTAATGGATATCATTTGATCTCAGCCAAGAATACTATTGACAAAAATTATGATACCTAACCTAACAAAGGTAACGGTATTGCATTTGAAAGGTAAGTTTTTCAGTTTCTGCCATGTTTTTTTATGATTTATAGCTGAAAATGCCGACTACTACAATCAGCAAAATAAAGTATTATCAATAATAAATAATAAATTGAAATCCTAAGACAAAAGTAAATATTTGTTAATGTTTTTGAAAAAAAAAGTGTACAAAATATTGAAAATTTCACAACCTGAAAATTGACAGAAATACTAAATCAAATTAAATACATTTTTGAACCAAAACTAGACACTATTTGGTAAGTTTGTATATAATTTTATGTAATTTTTGGTCAAGTATTCAAGGAAGACATTATTGGAAATTAGTTATAACCATCTGGTCCAAAGAGTTAAGCTTCTAAATATATATATATATATCTAATTTATGGTGAAATCACAACTATTCAACAATGATACTATAGATAGATAATTGAATAAGTAGAGTTGTTTAAACATTTGTTTAATTGGTGGTAGTGTCCAGGGTCACTGATGAGGAGTGGAATTCTCCGACACTAGTCTGGCTCATAGACACACACCCCAATGAAAGAATAGACCATTCCTAACCTTTAACTTGTTAGTTAAACAAATGTTT